TTAATAGCTGATCCCATTTCATTTAGGCAGTTTAATCAGCTGCCATCATTTCAGGGTTTTAGCTCCTGTTAAAATGGCTTTCTTCAATATGATTATTTTGTGGTGGTGATGATGACGATGATGACGACAATAGTAATGACGTAAGCTGTCCTGAACATTGCTTGGGAGTGGAAAGGCAGAATATACATTTTCCAAAATAAAATTAGTAATGGCACATATTTTTAACTTCAGCAAAACTGCACATTTTTTGAAGAGGTGAAGATTTTGTTGTTGCAACATAGAACATGTCCATAAGAATCACTTCTATCACTTAACTCATTTTACCTGTTGTTAAAACTGGCTGATACAGAATTTCCCTTTTAATTTGGTATTCCAGATGAAAGAATAACCCATATCTCTGAATACCTAGCTTTTGTCTTGTTTTATAAAAAGAAATGTCTGAGCATCAAACAATCAGATGAGTCTTTTGTGATTACCCTTTGAGCACACAAATCTAAGTGTTAGGATCCATAAATATGCACTACTGGTATGCCTGACGTCCATCATTATCGTGTTCCTATATCAGTAGACACAATTGTCCCTTGCATAAAGTTTGGTTGTATTACAATTAAGCAGTAGTTCCCCTTAGAATTTCTTCTCCGGCTTGGAACATTAAGTGAGATTCTGTGCATGCCCCATCAGCACTTGGCAGATCAGGTGCCCAAAAGCCATCTGCTGTGGCACATTTGCAGAAGGCTAGCTTGCAGCAGTATGTTATGCCAAAGGCTTGTTCATACCACAGAAGGCAAAGATGCAAGGTGCATTGTGAAGTCAGGTATGAATTATGATGAATTGCTCATATACACGGTCTTACATACAGTCCAGCTGCAGCCTATCTTAGCTGAGTATGCTCTTGATTCATGACATACTGCACAGAATTAAAATGGCAAAACTTAGATCTGTTACTTCAACATCCAGCCTTCATCAATTCTTTTCCTGGAGAAAGGCTTTTTCTGGAGTTTTGCAATTTCCAGAAATTCTAGCAATATTAATAAATAAGATCACCTTTCTGAATTAAACAAAGCCAGAGGGATAAAAATGCCCCAGTTGGGTTAACATTTATGTATATGTCATTTCATTTGGTTAAATATTTCCATATTGACTAGGAAGCCTAATAAATATTGTGGTTCTGTAGAATACAACTGCTCTGTATATACACAGGAAATCACTTCAGGATAATCCATAGCTGTATTGTAAAGCTGATGTCAGCTAAGGAAAAATCACAATCATTACCTCACTTTCTCACACAAACACGTACGCACACATAAGGTGATATATTGTATACCCCAAACAGTCCATCAGCAAACACAACTCCTTGCCCTATCAACAAGAAAAATAGAAATGAAAATGCATCTTTAAAAAAAAACCAGTCTGTTACGTCAAGCCAGAAAAGCATTCTTAGTCAATATTACAGTATCAAAGCAGATGCATTACTTTGGATTGGAAAAACTTAACATCGGTGTGCAAGCCCAGTGGGTTTGATTGAGCTTCCAAATATTTCTGGGATAGAAATGGTACTTCATCTGCTCTCTGAAATGAGTGCATCAGGCTTAGAACATGCCATTCACAGGCAGTGGGTACTGCGCATGCATCCATGCATCCAGTTATTTCTGCACTGCCCAGGATAAAACAGTGCTGAGCTGATGCATTCCAGGTGTGGAACCCCTGGGCTGCAACGGACCAGCAGCCTTCTGAATCTCTGAAAAAGGCATTCAGGACCACACACATTACCTTGACAGCAGAGCAAAAGAAAGGTAATCACCCCCAATTAATCATTTGCGAAATCAAAGTATAGTGATCGCTCAATATTTTCACTTTCTCTGTATTCCTGAAAGAATGAAGGTGCTCTTGAAGCAATGTTCACCATTACATACCCATTACATACACTACATTACATAGGATCTGGAGGAGAGACTCTTAAGACACACATTTGGTTTTAAAGCCTTCACGCTTGCACCACAGCATCAGGGAGCTTCCATATGTACCATTAGTAACCCAGTGCCAATGGCACTTCATTGACAGACCAGCTGGCAAAGCTATGTTCAGTGTAAAAGGTCCCCTGGGTTAGGATCAGGCAAAAATTGCTAATTCCCAAGGGGGAAAAATTCAACTCAAAATCTGTTACAAATTGCAAAAGCCTGCATAATTTATGCATATAAAGTCAGAATTTTCTGCAAGTAACTCAAGCTATTTTCACAGATAAATGACCCTAGGGTGGGGAGAATGGATTTCATTATCTGAATGCTAAGGGACTAGAAATCTAAAGCACACCAACCCTCCAACAAGACCATCCAAAGCAAATGGTGTGGACGCCATGACTGCGTCATTTAAAGAACTGGACTGGATGCACAAAAAAACAGGAGAAAAGCCCGCATTACACCAACGCCCCAGCGGCACTGCCATGGTGAAGGCTGGACTTCACTAGTCCAGGTGTCAGCAGCAACACTGGATCCTCAACATCTCAAAAGAAAGGACCAGCAACTCCATATTGGATGACATACATAAATTCCCTCTCTCTGTCAGCTCTAAGTTGGGGTGTGGTGGGGGGGGGGGAGTTGCACCTGCTACAGCAAAAGCACCATCTCAATCCTGTCCTGGGAAGAAATATCAGTGGCTGGCGGGACACGGCCACACAGCCCAGGGTCACCCATTTGACCTTCACAATCACCCCCAACGGGCTGGACCCCATCCTCCCAATGCATCATTTCCCTGCATCATAATCATCAACCCTGCAACACGGTGGTTGCATTGAATTAATTCTAGGCCCAGGTAGACAGAGTAAGCAAGAGAGGGAGAGAGCAAGAAACTGCCAGGAGAAGTGAAAGAACAAAAGCCCAACCACTAATCCCCTATCACCTGGAGTTGAGGAGAGCGGATACATTTTCCTCTCGTACCTGTCCAGCTTCTGCATGGGTGTTAAGGCACATAAGGGCAGTTTCTCTCTCACACACACACGCATACACAGGAAGTAAAAATCGAAACCCCAAGTTCCCCCAAGAAGAGCACTAGGAGCCTGGATAAGACACAAGTGGCACACCAGCAAAGCTAGGGAGGGGGCTGCTAAGGAAAGCAGGGATGAGACCCCCTCCAACACATGCACAGATCTCACTCCCCCAGTTCCCGACACATCGACCTGCTCTGCACAATGTATTCCCAATGGCCGAGATAGGAGGCAAGGCATACACACGAGCACCATACGCATCTGAAATAAGAAAGAGTCTGGGGAGGCAATGAATCAGCCAGCCTGAAGCTTCAGTCCGCCAACTGATCGATCGATCGATCGATCGGTTCCCCCCCCCCCATTCTGCCCCCCACGCCGGCCTTTCTACCCCTCCCCCAGAAGTTCAACAGTGACTCCAAAACCATACGAGACCCCGGAAGGTCCCGGCTGGAGGTTCTCTGGCCTGAAGCCTGGCAGCCTCGGAGGTGACCTCACCGGCCCCAACACATTCCACCGTTGGGATCCCCCCAGGCCAACCCCCTCGGGCGACGGCGGGCGCTTCGGGGGCCCCCTACCTTGCTCATCGCTGTCCCCCAACTGGGTTTTGGGTTCCTCCTCATGGAGGCCGGATCCTCCCCCTTCGGGGGTTTTGCGTTTCTTCGACATCTGGACGGTGTTTGGGAGTTGAGTTTTCTCTTTCCCCCCTCCTCACCCTCTCTCTCTCTCTCTCTCTCCAGGGAGATGAGGGAGGGAGAAAGAGAGGGAGAAAGAGAGAGACGCACGCCAACCACCGCGGATGGAAAGGAATCGCGGCTTCAAAAGAGGGGAAGAGACTTTGGAGTGGCTGGAGAGCGAGGAGGAGGCAGGGACTTCGAGGAGCAATCCTACAAATCACAACCCCATCCGTGCAAGCCCCACGTCTGAAGAGGGTTGCCTGGTTATAGGAGCTGCCCCCACCTTCTCCTCCCTCCCACCTCCCACCCTCATTCAACTAGTAGGTGGCGGAGGGGCGAAATGAAGAACGTGGGCAATGGATGGGGCAGGCCTGGGGGTGGGTTGAAAAGAAAGCCCCCTGCTCCTTTTCATCAGATGCGAACTGCTGCCTGTGGAGGCGGGCAGAAGAGAAGACACCATTGCAAATATAGTTGGAGAACAGAGCAAGGAAAGCCCAAATGCGGGGTCCTTGTCGACGGCTGTGGATAGGGCTGGGGGTTAGGGAAACGGGTGTTTCTAAGGCTCCTGGAGCAGCCAAGTCGGGGGGGGGGGGGGTGATGCCGACAGCGGCAAAGCTCCGTGCTGACAGAAACCTCCCAGGCGCCGTGCGAGGGCTGGCTCGCCGGCAGGGGGTTCCGTGCTTTGGGAACCGGGATGAGAGGCGGCGGGGTGGGCCGGGAGAAGTTCACAGAAGGGAAACGAGAGCAGAAGGCAGCTCTTTTCTGCTGGATTTCGTGTATGTGAGGATGACACGGGCGGGGGTGGGGGGTTGCATTGCCTGCTTTTGCTCGCCTCCTCCTAGCCCGGTAAGTTGCGCCCTGGAGCCGCAATCCTAAACTGCGGTCCTAGCCTTAGGCTGGAATCCACCCACCTGGAAGTAAACCCCAGGGAGCTCAGTAGGGATCACTTCCGAGTGGAGCCTTGTATAGAGCAGCACTGCCGGCGAGACGCACACGCCGGATCACCTGGGCTCCTCGGAGCCCGTGCGGCTGATGCTTCGGAGCCGGCTGGAGAGGTCCAGGTGTAAACCGAAGTTTGCACCCTCCGTGGCGAAGGGACGGACCCCTGCGGTCACCTGGTCTCTCGCGCGCTCTCACTGCCGCACAAACCCACGCATACCTTTGTAACCTTTTCCATTCCAGACTGGGCGTGCATCTCAGGCACACGCACGCTCGCGCGCGGCTCCTCCAAGTCTGGGACCGTCTCTCCGCGCCCCCTCGCTTCCCCTTCTGCCTCCCTTCCCCTGGCCCTACTTTGCACCCCTAGCCTGAGCGTCCTCCCCCACTTTCTTTGCTTAACAACTTACCCCCAAAACTACGCAGCAAGCTGGGTCTCAGCTGTTCCGCCCTCAAAGGCAAGTTTGAAAGAAAGAGCGTGCTGCGCGTTCAGTCCTGATGACCCAAAGGGGACGAGACGGGCGTCAATCGCCGCAAAAGCGGCTGGAGTTCGGGGTGCTCTTAAGATCCCCCCGCACCCCAGGTCCAGCCCCCTTCCCAGTTGCGCTGATGCCAACGAAGAGAGCGTCCTTCCTCTCCAAGACTTGCGAAGCATCCCGCGCGCAGCAGCTCTTCCTGGGAGCGCGCATCCAAGGGCCCCCGAGCGGCCGGACCCCGGCCCGCCCGCCCGCCCGGGGACCCCTGGGCAGTCTGCTCAGCGCCCGCGCTCCCGCTGCCCCGCGGATGCCGAAATCAGCCGCGTTCATGACTTGCTTCCTGTCTGTTTCTTCTGAAGGGGCACAACGGGGCTGTGCAGATCCCTCTGGAAAGATCGGTCCAGCCCCGGGCTGGTGGTGCATAGGATCTGGAGGAGAGACTGTCAGGCTGCGCGGAAGTTACAGAGTTTTCCTTCGGCGCAAAGGGGGGGGCCGAGGGGTTGGCCGCATCTCACGTCCAACAGGAGGCAATGACGTGTGTAGCTTCATTGCTATAACAGCGCCAAGGCTGCAATTGGCATTCATTGAAATGATAAGGGCGCTCAGACGTAAGCAGCCTGGACCTTTCAGCAAGACACTTCGAAGCCAAGACGATTTGCAACGCAAACACACACTCGCCTCCTTCCCAGAACAAATGCAGAGCGATTCTGAAGCGGGAGAGAGGGGAAGAGAGCGCGGGAAGCGAAGGACTTGGGAAACGCATCCCTGCAGCAGCCAGAGCCAGCGAAGCGCTGCCAGGCAGCACCTCCGTCCCCACCGGTCGCCAGAAACCTTGCCCAGCCCGCTGCTCACTTGAAACTGGCCGCCTCGGGTTTAGGCAGACTGAAACTGGCGAGACTCCCAGAGACTCTCCTGCCTCTTTCTGAAGGCACACAAGTAGGAGATGGAAGGGAAATCTACCCCCTCCCCAAATTAAAATCTGCTCCTTTCTTCCTGGGAAGTTGCCTCCCTTGTTAGTCTAACTCAAGCCCCATTCATTTCGATGGGTCTACTCTAAGTAGGGCCAATATTGAATACAGCCCAGAGTTCGCAGCCCTTTCGTAGGCATGCAAGAGGCGGGAAATTCAACAGGTGAAGCTTCTCCCCACCCACAAAAGTGTGGCGCTTGGACCTGTGCCTGCTGAGTCCGGCGAGGGGCAAGGAGGCAGCAGCCCTTTGCCCGTGAGCTCTTATGACGGTGGGCTGAATGAGGGGTGGGTGGAGAGGTGGGCTCCCCTCGCTGAACAAAGCGCAGCCCCTGAGCACAAGCGGCCCGGTTTTTAACTCCGGATCTAGTGCTGCACCAGCAGGAGGAGGAAGGTGATTTCGCACGCGATAAATTGCAAAGACTGGAGAGATTTTTTTAAAACTCCGTGTCAACGACGTGGGATCTCTCTTTCTAAAGAAAGAGGCAGAGCGTGCTTTTCGGGTTGGATTTTGCTTTGGTTTTGGCAGGGTGGGGGACCCTCATAACCCCAAATCCATACCGAAAGAGGCACTGAGAATCAAAGAAGGGGAAAATCCAGCCAGCAGCCACAGCTAGGAGGAGGAAAGCGGCGAGGATAACCTCTGCCCACGCACCGCCAGGGCCACGCGTCATCCCCAGCTAAAGTACCAACTCGCACTCTCACACGCTGCTGCTGCTGCCGCTGCTGCTCCAGTGCTCTCAAAACGACAGCTTGGAAAGATGCTCAATAACCCAAAGAAACTGCCTGCCAACAGCACACGCTGCTCCAGGATAGGAGCAAGCCCGGCTGCATCAGCTCTGCCCAGCGCTCCCATTGCACGTCGCGGAATCAAAACACACACGCAAGCAGACACGCGTTCTCTACCGCAGTCATCCCCACCCCAAAATAGCCAACTCTCGCATCGTCCCTCCGCCCCTGCTGCGGTTTCGCCACTTAACACTCGGAGACATCCAGACCTTCTGTCGCGGAATGCGGGGGGCGGGGTGCAGAGGGGTCGCAGAAGGACAAACAGAATCAGGACAGCCCAGCCTGGCTGGCAGAAATTTCCAGAGCCTGGGAGCAGTCACGGCGAAAGCCTTCTCTCGCCTCCCCGCCAAAAGTGCCTCTGATGGTGGTGGGACCCAGAGAAGGCCCTCCTTGAACTTCCTATAAACACCTGGTCTCATGAGAGAAGATGATCTTCCAGGTAGCCTGTCTCAAGTTGTACAGCTTGGCATGGAGTTTAAGGTTTTGCAAAATCCACAGAGGAGGAAAAGATCATGAGGGAGTCTTGCTGACTGAATAAGACACTAAGAGCCCTCCTGGATCAGCCCAAAAGCAGGCTAGTCCAGCTTTCATTTTTCACAAGGGCCAACCTGAAGTCTCCAAGCAAGTCAGTAGCACCCTCCCACTCATATTCAGCAACTGGAATTGAGAAGTAGACGGCCTCTGATACTGGACTATGGCTAATCAGTACTGGTATTTCTTAGCATTCTTCATCTTTTTGCCTCATCACCAACAGAAGACTTTCCCTGCACACTTCATTTGCAAGCACTTTATTTTTAATTGAAGAAGGTGGTGCCAGTTCAGCTTGTCAGTCATTCTTACAATAGAGCCATTCATGGTGCTATTTACTGACTTGGCAGAACTGACTGCTCTGTGCTTTAAAAAGCATAAAATTTAAAATCCAGACAAGAAAGACAAATAATATTACCAGGCAATCCCTGTTTTCTATTTGAGACAGTAGGGAGATGTAGAAGAAAGCATTCAGCACACTGGCAGATGAGGGGTGGGAAATCAAATGCAAACTCCTGAAGTTTGACAGATGCAAAAGTACAATGTGATGTTTCTCCTGCAAAGACTTTGGAGCAGGGTTCTAGTTCCCTAGGGATGCTTCCCAAGGGAAGGCATTTTCTGCTAGTGTTAGGCATGCTGAATCAGTGTATCCAATACCTGCACCTGGAAAAAATGGAGAGTCACTGAAAGGGCAAAGTATATTTTGACTATGGAACAGCTTCATCCCATATGTTTGATTCCTGGAAGAGAAATAGTGGCTTATTTCATGCATCCATATTTTCTTTCAGTATGTTCCATTGAATTTGACCAAGTTAACATTTGAGTAAATATGCTTTAGGATTGCAGCCTTATTTTACATTTCAATCTGTGATTCAGTTATAAGCAGGGGAGTGCTCATCAGTTTTGAAGTACAGACACTCATTGTGATAATCCCCATAATCATGCACCAAAAGAGAGTCCAAAAACTGTTATCCCCAGAATAGCCCAAGAATGCTGGCAGCTGTCAAATAACCAGTTCTGCCAGTTTTCATCTCCACCCAGTGCAGGCCTTCTGTAAAGCTAGGTGTTAATTGTCATTTAAAGATCAAGCCACCCCAAAAAACTTTGCAGTACAACAGGGCTAGCTCAGGACAATACTTAGACACTAGGAAGATCCATTCTCCCCCAACTACTAATACATTGCAGCAAAGCTCAGGTGGAACAGAGAATGGGGAAGGGAACAGAGAATAGCTTCTGCTATTATAGGATGGACAGACAGACAGCTTCTGGTACTTCAACCCCACAAGCCCTGGTTATAATGTATATGTAGAAAACTCTTTTTTCAGGTAACTGGGAACATAAAGCAATGGCAGCTGAGGTAGGGGGATGAACTGCTGCTTTGGCCCATTGTCTTATGCACACCGCTTATGCACTCAAGACATACCGGATCTCTGAGTGCTGTTTCTCATGCCAATTGTTACCTAATAGACTAGGAGGACCAGTGAGCACAGCACAGTTTTCCTCTGCAGAGGCAGAATGACATTTTTCATATGATTTGCCTCTTTGTAGAGAGGCATTCCCAAACAGTGGACTGTGAGAAAAGAATCAAATAAACCCACAATACTACCACCAACCCTCCATCACACACAGGAAACCACCCACCAGATCTAAGCATGATTGATTCATGCTGGCCTCCTTCTAGTCAGCTTTCCATGGAGGTGAGTAATTCTTCTGTACCTCTCATTCAGTGTGATTAGACCAGCCAATGGTTTCCCATGTAGGAATGTAGCACAGTTGCCTGAACTCAGAGGAAACATGTCCAGAATTATGGATCGTGCAGAAAAATAGTAACGCAGGTGGGCTCCTCTGAAGTCAGGTTGCCCTCTTACTCTTATGCTCTCTCAAACGAAGCCTTTTCGGGTGCGAAACTGACATGTGCCACAAATATCCAATTTAGGAAAAGGTATGCCTTAGCTAAAAGAATCTTAAGAAATGCTGACCTGGAGAAGTGTTTTCCTGCGGTTCCTTTTCCTAGCACTACAGCCACTGGTGAAAGCTGCTGCTGAGGTGTAGTTTTTAGGAATGTTCTGCATTTCAATGCTGGCTTCTGATCACATTCCATTTTATTTCTCATTGCCACCATACTAATCTCCATACACTTCCCATATGCACATACACGTTTCTTTAGATAGCAATCACATATTGGTTCCTTGATACTGCATTTGCACAATTACACCTCTATGTACACTTTGTCAAGATAGATGTTTCAGAGCAAGAAAAGAACTTTGGAAGCACCACCACAGGCATGAGCAAGGCTTCTCCACCTATCCACTACCTAGGGAGATTCCAGCTGCTAAATACACTGGCGAGAGCAGGGTACAAGCCAGCTCTTGGTGGGACAAACCTATACAGCAGGCCCAGAGCTACACTATCTGCAATGCTCCTGACTTGATGTGGGAGCCATGGTGCATAATAAAAGTCCCCAAACACCAAGCAAATACTAGAACATAGAGGAAAATACGAAGCTGCCCTCTCTTGAGCCCAAACACTGATCCATCTAAGCACAGTATTGTTGACACAGTCTGAAGGCAGTTCTCCAGGACTTTGGGCAGAAGGTTTTCCAGGCCTGATTAGAGATAAAGCTAAGACCTTGTGCACGTGTCCTGCTATCAAGCCACATCCCTCATAACATGTTGGGTCAGACCAAGGCCCATTTAGACCAACAATCTGTTCACACAGTGGCCATCCAGTTGCCTGCAAGAAACCCATAAACAGGAGATGAGGGCCACAGCACCCTCCTTCCCAAGCTTCCCAGCAATGGGTATACAACAACATCATACAACCTGTAATTCAGCAAGTACCATAGAGACATTAAGACTAGTGGCCAATGATCATTTTATCGTCTGTGAATTTGACTAATGCCCCTTTAAAAGCCATCCAAGCTGATGACCATC